CCCCCCCCCCCCCCCCTCCAAATCCATCCCTGGAACTACTTATGTACAAAATATAGGACACATTATATATGAAAATACATGATTCTGGGAGCTGTAAAAGGCTAAATCAAATCTGTAAATTGTATGCTCTCTATGCAGATTTGATGGAGATTTCTCCAGCAATATGAGTAATATTGATTTGCTTAATTCTGGTGATTGATTGCTTAATTTCCTTAGATCCAATATTTAGGCATTTAATTACTACGAAATTTGTAATTTAATGCACAACAAATTTATTTAAAGTCGCCGTCCTAAGCAATTAGTATTTTATAGAACAAAAATATTCAAAAGCTTAAAATTAATATATTTGAAAAAAGATTACAAATTAGAAAATTATAGACAGACCTTGAATAGTGACAATTACAGATACACCCTTTGCTTTGTGCTATTTTGAAATACTTATTAAATACAATTACACAATTTTTCCTTTATTTCTTAAAAATTCTTTTCATATTTTTTATTAGTCTTAGTTAAAAGAATATCATTATAAATTGTAATAATATCTTAAAAGATTTTAAAATATAATTTATTTTCTAAGAATATTATATGTCTTGCAAATATGACCGACAGCTATTTTTAAAAAATGAAAATAAACACGTGTTATAGTATAATTTAATAAAGAAAAAATAATAATTTTTAAATATTTTATATTTCTTCATTTAGTAGCATTTTCTATAATTTTTACTCATTTATTCTCTTAACATTTAAAGTACATTTAGAGTATTAAACTAAAATTCAGTACTAAAAATCAGATTTTCACCTACATCCGTTGGTAATTAGAAATGGATTATCCGTTAGTAAAAGTTATTACTTTCGCTACGATAATCAGTAACGAATTTTCCGTTGGTAACAATGATATCTTTTTACCAACGGATATTTTGTGCCTCATATAATCATTTAACATTTGGATCTTTCACCTATGGAATATCTGTTGATAACGTACTGAATATTACCAATGGATGCAATCCGTTAGTAATTAGAAATTGATTAACCGTTGGTAAAAATAATTTACTTTCAACTACGATAATCAGCAATGAATTTTTCATTGGTAACGACGATATCTCTTTACCAGCAAATATTTCATGCCTCATATAATCGTTTAACATTTGAATCTTTCACCCACGGATATTTTGTTGGTAATTAGATACAGATTATTTGTTGGTAAAAGGAATTCACTTATCCTACATTGAAAGTTCACAACAAAGTCTTTGGAATTGCCCTCTATAAATTAATTTGTGATCCAGTTTTTGGTTAAACAATCTTTTGGCCTTTCAATTCGGTTGGCTAAAAGTTAAAAAAATTAAAATTATTAAATAAATAATAATGACAATAAAAAAAAATTACCATGCCTCACATCTATGCGGCTATTTACAAAATTGATTTTTTTCCAATTGTAATTGTAGACATTTACTAACGGAAAGTCAGTTGGTATTGGTTAAGATTTTTACCAACGGAAATTTCATTGGTAAAAGATTCACACTTTACCAACGAAAAATTCATTGATAAAATGTTTATTCTTTACTTACGGCAGAATCCGTTGCTAACTATCAGCGACCCTCAAATTAGCAACGGATTTGAGGTTGCAAATATTTTGTTGGTAAAGAGTAATAGCAATGGATATATTCGTGCCGGAAGCCATTTTTTTAATAGTGAATATCGTAATAAAGTTGGCATCAAAGATTTAGTAGTTTATTTTTTTTAAGCCAGTATTTTAGTTCTATTTTTAATTTATTCATTTTTAAAATGAGAAATTAATTTTAATTAGTGGTTTTTATTACTTACTTTAACGATAAGTATAACTTTGTACTCATTGATCACGGCCATAAGAAAAGGGACATATGCAATGACTTTAATTGAATTGATACTTAATTTTTATTGTATATAGATTGATTTATGAGAAACTAGATATTGTATTGCATATGAAGAAATAGGGGCAGAAATTGAATGATAAGGACTAAGAATGAACAAATTATGGAAAATGGGGACTAAGGTTTAAATATTTAAACGATGAAGGACCAACAATGTAAATAGGAAGGGACTTGAGCTGAATTAATACAAAAATTTAGTGACTAACTTGAATCGGAAGCAAAAAAGATGAAACTTGCAATCGCAAGACTCTACCTACGCGATCACTAGTTTCACCAACAAGTTCAAGAATATTATCATACGATCGCAACAAAGATTACCCTGCAATCGTGTTGGTCACGATCATATGGCTTTACAAGGTAGAAGAAATTTTATTCCTTTATTTTAATCAAGATCGATCTACATTGAATGGGATTTTGGAGTACAAATTTCACCTAATTCTAGAGGCTACTAAGAGGATTATTCATCTAGCAAAAGGGGAAGATAGTTTTTGGGGTGACATAAACATAATTCTGTACACTAACCATCAAGAGCTTTGTTTCAAGCAAGAGAGAAATGGGATTTCTTGAGCACTCTATTGAAGACATTCAAATAGACTAAAATTAATACTCAAATTTCTTCTTGCAATTACATATTCTGGGTTTGAATTCTCAATTTATTATGTATTTTTTGTAATTTAAATGTGATAGGCTAAATCTTTAGTAATTCTCAAATTGTTTTGTCCAATGTTCTGGATACTGATATTAATGTGTGGTCCGAAATTTGAGACATTAATTTTGTCTTTATGATAGTTGGTCTGAAAATGCAATATCCTCCACATGGTCACAACAGCACTTGAAAGTTGGATTTTTCTTATTTATTTATTTTTAAAAACTTGAATAAACTGAAATAAATCACCATCAACACAAACTGCCATTTTTAAAAAATTGAAGATTGATACTGTTTCTCTATTAAAAACACAGTTCATTTTCTGATCAAATTCTAAGACTAAAATTAGGTATTTATATTCAAAACACAGTTCATTTTCTATCCAAATTCTGAGACTAAAAGTAAATTAAAAGAATATGGAATGAATATTTAAATTCCTCCATCGACTTCTAACATAATTACCACAAATGTGACATTGGTGTTCTGTCACATATCATTCAACCCTTTAAGTGTATTTCCCTGCATATAATTCTGACCTCACAGTAAAATTAATTAGTTCCCCTATCTTGAAATAAGGCATTGCTCTAGATCTAATACTTAGGCATTTAATTATCACAAACACTTTACTTTGATGCACAACAAATTTATTTTCAACATATGGTTTTCTAGCAAACAGTATTTTATTAAACAAAGGGTAATTGTCAAAAAAGTCCATACCTTTTAAGTTTATTGTGAAAAACGTCCCTATTTTTCATTTTTTGGCATTTTTGCCCATACTTTTCACATTTTTTTGCGCTGGATGTCCTTTTCATCAATTTCTATCGTAAAATGACTAATATACCATCCTATTTAAATAAAACAACAAAAAGAAAGAATAAATTGCAACTATAAGCCCAAACTTTTTGAAAAGTGCAAATTAGTCCAAATAAATTATTAAAATAAAAAAAAAAAATCTTTCTCAATTCTCTTCACCTCCCCTTGCTTACGCCTCCTCCACCACCACCACCACCACCATTGCCATCTCCTAAACCACCGAAACTCACACCATAAACTGTTGACATCAACCCCAAACACTTATGATAAAAATTGGATACAAATACTACTCAATTAAAATGGGATCTAAACTCGTATGCTTCAAACTGTCCCAAATTAAATCAATTGCGTGATTTGTACAAAATTGTTGAAGACCCAGAGTTGTAATAGCTTCACCATGATGAGAGATTGCTGAATATGGTGGTCCGTGATCATGATGTTCACCACTCACCAAAATTTCGCCTAAAACCTGGGTGATGATTGCGTTCAAAATGTTTGGCTTCAGATGTTGATTGGGTGGTTGAATAGGTGTTTGGGGATCATGGTTTGATTCATCATGATGAGGGGAATCTACCAATATGTTGGCTTGGGTTAGGAATCGTCAAAAAGGAAGCTGTCAATAGTTTTGGTTTGTGCGATTGGCAAATTTTGGAGAGAAATTCCGGCCAATTCACCTGGAGTTAGGGCCAACTATACAACCTACGCAACAATTGGCTTGATTAAAAAGATGGATTGATTAAAAATTTATTTAACAATAATTTATTTGGTTGATTCTATCAAAGTTCGATCTTATCCAAAATAATTTTTTCTTGAATTTAATATACATGATTAATTATGAGTTATTGAACAAGTCTAATATTATTATGGTAATATGATTTAATTTGAAAAGCAATATTACAATTCAGTAGTTTACTTTTATACAAGATAAATTTTTCATGAGTCCTTTATGTCCATAATATGATTATCGAAAACAACTAGAATTTGCTACT